AGGGGCCTTAATAATTACCTACACTGTGGTGGAGGTTTCTTATTCTAATTATAGTAGAACATGCCAGAAAACCATGTTCTATTTATTAAGGCCCCTACATTACGTCCCATTCAAATGATTTTCGTAAGCAAGACTTGAAGTCGAAAAGCTTTAGGAAGTCCTTCAAGAACCGAGACCAAAAGCTGCAGGAAGATCCGGAGAAGAGGGTTCAGGGGTTCAGGGTTTAGGGTTTAGGGTTTAGGGTTTAGGGTTTAGGATTTAGGGTTTAGGGTTTAGGGTTTAAGGGTATGGAAGCCCCTGTCCTTGAGAAGCAATGGTGCTGACCCACCCACAGCCTCAGAAAACCTTACATAGACGGAAACCTAAAACCGTCCGCAACCCTACTTAAAATTTAGGTTTAGGGTTTGCGGGTTTAGGGTTTAGGGTTTGGGGTTGCGGGTTTAGGTTTAGGGTTTAGGGCTTAGCCCCCCCAAAACTCTAAACCCTAAACCCTAAACCCTAAACCCTAAACCCTAACCCCGCCTGAAATCCTCCCCCAGGTTCTGCTTCCTGCATGCCGCCTGGTGCCAAGAGGCCGACGTCGCCGTCACCGTCGTCCCTCGGCTGCTTCTGGTGGGGCTGCGGAGGTGCTATAGCGGCCTTAGTAATTACCTACACCATAATATACCCCGAAACCCTATTCAAATTGTGAAGGCCCCTACATTGGGGGTGGTGGGGTGCCCTTATCGTTTGTCTCTTGTCTTTCGTCTGCTCATGGGTTTCAATACATCTTTTGCTTTAGGGTGTCGTCGAGGGGTTCGTTCAAGGAAGTCGAGGCTGAAGCCCTAAACCCTAAACCCTAAACCGCTTAGACCTGTTTTGGCGCAAGGGCGCTTCAAGTCCCATCGCCTCTTTCGGGGGGTTTTGGAGATCCTAAACCCTAAACCCTAAACACCGAACCCTAAACCCTAAGCCGCCTTAACTCGGAGCCTGGAATCTTTGGTGCTACCACTCCTTCCCGCCTTTGCCAGTACTTGGAGGTTCATGGTAGTTATAGGTGGCTGTTATGGGGTTCGTTTAAGAGCTCCTTTGAGGGTTCCTTTATGGGTTCCTTTAGAGAGTTCTTTAGGGTTTAGGGGAGGGGTAGTTATAAGTAGGGTTATAAGTCCCCTAATGCGGGGTTATAGGAAAAGTTACCCGACTGATGACCCCATTTTTTCCCATCCGGGCACAAAGCCACAAGGCCCGGTCAACTACGAAGACCGCCCGAGCTGGAAGATGCCCTGATCCCAAAGTTACTGGAACCCGGATCTCTACTTGGAGGTTCATGGGTAGTTCTAAATGGGGTCATAAGTAGGGTAGCTACACTTATAACCCATATATTGGGGGACTTATAAAAACCCAGTTATAACTGCCCATGAACCTCCAAGTAGGTTCCAGAAGCTCCCCTAAAAAGCCTGGAGGCCCCTCAAACCCTAAACCCTAAACCCTAAACCCTAAACCCTAAACCCTAAACCCTAAACCCTAAACCCCCAAGCCCTCAACCCTAAACCCAAAACGGCCTAAGCCGAGGTGGACGTCAGCGATCAGGATGTGTTCCTCAACATCATCACAGCCCCAGAGGCCGGGTGTAGGCAAAAAAAAGGGGCCTTATAATAATTAGGTTTTAGGGTTTATCAGGGTTTAGGGGTTCAGGGTTTAGGGTTTAGGGTTTGGGTTTAGGGTTTAGGAGTTTAGGGTTTAGGGTTTTAGGGTTTAGGGGTTTAGGGTTTGGGCGTTTACTGTTTAGGGCTGAGGGTATAATAATTACCTATACTATTTTGGGGGTTCCTCATTGTAATTATAGTATAATTTATCCCAAAGCCTTACTTTAGATATTAAGGCCCCCGACATTAACTGCGGGGTGGTGTGAAAGGAGGGGATTTTTTTCAGAGGGTCTCGGGTTTGAGGTTTGGGGCTTTTTTGCTTCGGGGTCGAGGTTTTTTGCTTTCCATTTTCTATTCCGAAATTCGCACGGCCCACGGGCTTTGGAGCTTTCTGTTTGGTTCTGAGGCTTTGTCAATGCAGGGCTGTCATGCCGTTCCCCCTTCAGGGCTTTTCATTCTAGGGCATCGGGATCAGGCGCTCAATGACTTCGCTCGGTTCAAGGTGCAGGGCTTTCGGATGATATCTTCACCCTACACCGTCCTTTGCAGGATCCATGGCTTGGGATCCCTTTTTCGGGTCAGTTTTGGAAAGGTGCCGTACTATATTGGGGACCCGAAGAGGGACCCTAAGTTAGAGATATACCCATATTGGGGCTCCCAGAGACTCCAATATCCCTTAATTACGGAATTTACTTTAAATCATATTGGGGATCCTACTAAAATTTAAGGTATATCCCTTAATTAAAGAATTTACCGTAAATCATATTAGGGATCCTACTACAATTCAAGAGGTATATTCCTTAATTACGTAAGGGATATTGGAGTCTCTGGGCTATCA